TTGACAATTTTCTGCGGATGCCCTTGCACGGAACATATTATGTGCAAAACCACTGCAGGCTAGAACAAAAATAACAAATTAAGAAAAATAAAACAAAATATAAATCCCTGGCAACAATCAAAAATAACAAGAAAAATAGAAATAATAATAACCAGACTAAGAATCAGYCACACCCTCCTCACACACGGACACTTCATGAATAAACTAACTCCAACCGAATGCACTCCATGCGGAACGACCCCCGACCCCTACGGTTAAACATTAAATGTAAATTTTACTGACCGAGTACAGAGTCAACGAAGAAGAAAGGAAAAATCACAACATATCATCAAGCTTGTACGAAAATAATCGGTCCCGAATGCCAACCAGAAACATTTTTAGCATTCCTCAAGTCATTGAAAGTAGAAAACAGCATCTAATAATCAACAGATTTAAGTGATTAATATGTAAAAACTTATAAATAAAAATGTAATTGCAAAATTGTCAAAAGCTAATGGCCTATGTTGCCGAAGCTAAAATGTTCAATAAAAAAAAAAGAACAATGAATAACGATGATAATTATTTTGTTGCAATTCAATTTATATAATATACTAATATTATAGGTACATTTAATTTTTACTATTCTTATTTCTTATATAGTTATATACCTGATTATATATAATAMATTATTAATAGTTAAGTATAAGTTATATTATTTAGAGCATATTATAAGCAATGTAAGCGTTGCTTACAATTTCAGTTATAAACTATTGTTGTAGGTTCTATCAAATTCTAATAATTATAAAATAAAATAGTTATATTATTAATTATTATTTATGATTGTAATTTTGTAATTTGTTAGAAATCTAAAAATAACATCGATGGTTCGGGCGTTCCAGCCGTCGCCCGTCGGTTGACGACAGGCCGAGTATCGCGTATACTCRGTATAATATCTCTCGAACCTCCACACACACACACYWWRGTTCAACAATGCTTTTCTATAAATATGATAAATATACGTCAGACGAGATAGCGTGTAAGCGATTCCAATTCCCTTACCTATTTTGTATAAGAGACTACTACAGTTTATACTTTTATAGTATAGAATCAATTAAATTATGAAATATTTTTTTTATAATATTTATATTTTAAATTTTAGTATTACTATAATAATTTACTTTCTTTAACAAAAAATCTTATTTACTGCGGTTTTAATACACCGAATCGATCAATTGTTGGTAATTTTTAATAGATGTAAAATAAATTGTTAAGTTATTATTAATTATAATTAATTATAAATAATCCTTTAAATAATTACCTATATAAAAAACTGTTTAGCAAAAAATAATCGAACTAAAATCTTGCGTACGCTAATAGTTATAGGTAGGTACATGGTAATTAGTAATTACTAATTATGAGTAGTAGAGTACACAATATGTGTTGATATTAATATTTATTTATTTTTGGACTTTTTACGCCTACTTTAAATTTAATTCATCTTATTAGTTATTGCTTATTGTAGCTAGGATTTTAATGGCCTAAAAAAGGGCGGGTCCAGCCCAAGATTATGGGAGGGGAGGGCGAATATTTACGTACAAAATAAAATATCTAATAAAATATAATATGTGTGCAAGCGCGCATATATGTGTTCAAAAATAACTTACACGAAACAATTAAGTTAAATACAACTTTGTAATCAATTGATAATAAAATGAACGTATTACGTCCACACACCTAATTCTTATTATTATTATTTATAGTATGTAAAATAAAACTATACTATAACTAGTATAACTTTACAAGATTACAAATGTATATACTAAATTATAAGAATAATAGATAAATATAATATATATATTTGTGTAGGTACCTATACAATAATTGTCGTGGTCGCGCCGTCATCGACAGTTTTCTGAGAAAAAATAACCATTACTTTGCTAAAAATGAACGAAAATAAAATCCGAATACACCGTTGAAAAGAAGACATTTCACTAAATAACCACGTAGGTATTTAAACATTTTAAACGGAAGAATTGCTCTGATAACCGAGTAAATTATAAGGCCATATTGCCTTAAAGATGCCTATACAAATTGACAATTTTCGACTAGTGACTACCCGTCGACCGCGGCACTCAACGTGTTAAAATTAGTTTTGATTCTTTTTACTGGGCATTTTTCCTAAACAAAACACAGCTTACGGCGGGGGGGCGCCCCCTCCGCCACCCTACTGAATCCACGCCTGACCTAAAAACTCTAATAAATTAACTTAAAAAATGTACTTAGATGAGTGAAAAAAATGTATTTTTAAAATATTAATAATTATAATTTATGAAGAAAATAGGTATAAATTTGACTTGTGAATTTAACCGCTTCCTGGTATAATTATTCTGAAAAATCAATAATCGTACTCACTACTAAAGCTATTATTGTGTACGGTATACCTATATAGTTTAGGGTTCGTTCGATATGTAATCTTATCTTACTTATTTTTATATTACTTTTTCAATATAATATATCAATGGACTGGAGTAGGTAATAATATAGGCCTATAGGTACTAATTGGGATTACCTTTACAACACATATTAGAAAAGCTTAAAATAAACTAAAATTAGTTAAAATACAAAAAATGAACGTAATATTTGTAATATTACGTTAAAATGACCTTAAAAATTCAATAAAATGCATTTAACACAAAAAATGTAAAATAAAAATTACATATTCTAAATTGTTATATCACGAAACAAATTTAGTTTTTTGATAGAAATGTGAAGCACTTAAAGAAAAAAAATGCAAGTCACCAAAATACTAGCTCTATTTTTTGATAGCGGTGTCTTATAAAGCTTAAATTATTTTGTTTATAGTCGTTCTAATTTTATCAAAACAGAAAAGGTACATATTATTTAGATGCTATATTTCATTTGTGATCGTGGACCACAAATAATGACAAGCTGGGCAGTTGAAGACCCCTGATGACTAATATAGCTGCAGTGGCATATTTGATTTAGTTGTAGGGGCCGGGGATGATACTAAAATTATTATACACGAGCTTAAATTGTACCCTATTTATTTTACAAAAAACTGTTTTTTAGTTTTTTTTGTGTCTGATGTAACTTTTCTAACAGAAATGATCATAAATATTCAATTTCAAAGAGATTTCTGGTAGCATGTTTAATCTTGATTGTACTTTTTCTATATAAAACCAATAATTATTCAAGTCACGGGGGAAGTGCGATCACCTCCATCGCCCCTCCACCCACAAATAAGTGACTGTGGTCTGTGAATCTGTAATATTATAGACACAATAGACACTATAGACAATGAACAATGAACGATGATTGATTGTACAATCTTTAATCATGCTATCGATTGATAATTGGCGATAATCGATATGGCACGACAATCGCTATCGGATGTGTATCGATGTTTGTTATAAATGTGAATACTCGTAGCGTCGAACAAAATATTATGTTGAATCCACCACAAGATTCGCTTCTCGTTGGTCACCCTACGACGGTTGGCACTACCGACCGCGTCTGGCGTCATTTCACGGCGTCCATGTCGATGTGGCATTGTGGCATTATTGATTATTTCGCGGCGTCTTTGTCTACGTGGCATTGTTTTGCGGCGTCTGCGTCCTGCGCGCTTTGTCGACGTGGCATTATTTGGCGGCGTCCGCGCGTCTGTGTCGACGTGGCATTATTTGGCGGCCGTCTGCGCGTCTGTGTCGACGTGGCATTATTTCGTGGCGTCTGCGCGTCTGTGTCGGCGTGGCATTATTTCGCGGCGTCATTGTCGACGTGGCATTATTTCGCGGCGGCTTGACAGCATCCGGCAGCCGTAGGCTTTGTAGCCTTCGCCCTTCAGATACAAACAACAGAGCCGACGGAAAACATGGCGTGCTATCCACGCTTTTGTCTCTCGTGTAACGTTTTCTGCATTGTCGTTTAGCGGTTGCTCTCCGCTTGCCAGTTTCCGCCTGTCGTTTATTGTTCTTTAAAGCCCGTCATTCGTTTCGGACCGAGGTGGTTGTTATACAATTGATTATTGTATTACGACTACCTTGGTCCGATTTTGGATTGCTAAACACTTATGTCCGTGTGCGGAATCGGACGTCGTCAAAAGTCGAAACAACAAAGTAAGTGTTTTGACGTTTTGTCTTTGTAACGTTACTTGTAATTATGTTTTCTTGGCGCTCAACTTGAATGTTTAATTATTGTGTCACTAATAATGTGTTTATTATTTGTTAACAGATTATCAATAAATCAATCAATATGGACGGAAGAAAATTCAAGATAGCAGCCAAACCAACAATAACACACTCAATCTCAAAACTAAATACTAATTCATTGTTTTCATCATCATCTGCCGTGGTCATGGTAATTAAATCATAGACATATCCATTTCCATGTGCGTACTCAAAGATTTAACCGCTCCGATCCTGTAGCAGCCTCAATCCAAGATTATCCATTTTTATATACGTATTCCATGCAGTCTGAGTACTAAATTGMCMCTGCCTTGGCATTTGTATCTATATCCGGAGGATAAAAATATCTGTGCCAAGGCCGGGKTATTTAGACTGCTTGGAATACGTGTATAAAATGGTTTATCCTTGTCGTTGTAATATTTCATCAAAGGCGCCACTTGCTTAGAACTATCATTAAATCATTTGAAATGTTATGTACATGGCAACTGGAGCTGTAATAAGATATAATTATTACCTATTCTTACTAACAAATAAATAAAAATACTGTTTTCTCTAACTTCATAATAATAATATATTTCCTTAATTTAAATACTTTACAAATTATATAAATTTGATGAACATTTTTTATGTACAACTCTTAAAACTTACTGTTATTTTTTTTTTTTATATTTGTAACATTTAATCTTAAGCAAATCCGTTTTCATGTACGTTCTTCAGAAATATAATCACTCTAATCCTATAGCAGCCTCAATCCAAGATTATCCATTTTTATATACGTATTCCATGCAGTCTGAGTACT